TATTGTACTACTCAGTCGTCCGGTCCAGAGTAGGCCTTGTTCAAGGGTGCACCTTAGCCTTTGCTCAACCAAGCGCGGACTACAAGGCAGCAGTGGTGTTCCAGATGATCCGGCGGTCAGTTTTCGGTTCATTCACCTCTTCTGTAAAGCCTTGTCGCACATCGGATCCTCACAAGGAGCAATGGCCACATTGAATGGCGGGCTACACTCGCCATGTCACAGCTCTGTCCACAGATATTTGTGGTGTTTGGTTCAGGTAACCCTTATCAGGAGGAAAACCCACCACATTCTCGAGCGCTGCCGCTGATCGTCCGCGATCGCTTATTCGGGAGGCCCAGTCCCACCTTATTCTCGGTTAGCCGCGAGATGACGGCCGTTCCCCTATCCGCGACCATGGGAGGCTCTCTGTAGCATACAGCTCTGCTATTTCTAACGGTTGGGAAGAGAGGTGGGAAATGGGAGATGGGAAGGTTCACGTTTTGCGTCAGATGAACCACACATCACACCAAGTAGTCGATTAGCGATATTACGTTGCCGACAGGCAAACGTTTGCAATCTTATTTATGGCTGCTCCTTCTTGTCCCTATGATTGCAGTTTCTCACGGATGATGTTATAGGTGTTGGTCTTGTTTACATATCGCTTCTGTGCAAGAAGACACTGTTTAACGCCAGTCTCTCGATGTCGTCCAATAGCCCGACTTTCAGCGCAAATCATCTTCCCCATCCTGTTTACCGTGAAGTATGTCACGACAAAGGCGAATGTGGAAGATGAGAATGGAGAAAACGGTGTTTGGTAGCTTCATATTTATCAGCCGGACTCTTCATCAGTTGTTCGATCATCAGTGTGTAAGTCAAGGCAGGCTCTATGCTCTGTTCAAGATAGTGTTATCGAGATCGATGCACTCTTCACAGGGTTATCTATTGTGTTTATATACCGCATTTTGGTTTTGCACTTAGCCTCGGATAGAATAGCTACTTGAAAGCGTTGGTATTTAGAGGTTACACTCTACAGAGATGCGACTTTTGAGAGGTCCAAGAATGCAGTTTACTTGATCAACTAGTTGACGAAGTTTTATTCCCTTTCTGGGTGAAAAAAGTTGTGTAAAAGAAACGGTATAGCTAGGAAATACTGTACACCTGTTTCGACCTTGTTGGATCTTATCAGCAGTCCGAATCCACCGTCGTGAGTTTCGAATCCTCAATTTTACAGATAGGATGCAAGCATACTACGCACTTGTCGAAATGAAAAGCGTTCTGAACACTTGGTCGGTGTCACTGCACTTGCTAAAAGTTTTCCTCCTCAAAGAACCAGCTTTGGGGAACATGGCCGTTCCTTTTAGTTATGAACCAGTGTTCAGTTCTTTCAATGCACCACGGACCGCAAGTACATTGAAAAAAATGAATGCAGCTGAAGGTGTATGATCGGTCTGTGTTTGATGTTGTGAGTGATTTTCCTCGGAACCATGCCGAACTTGTGGGCAATATCGAGTCGACGGCCGACTCTTTCAATTTCATCGTGCCCATTAAACAGTGCACTAATGAAAATGGCTTTGTCTTGGACTGTTTGTTATTCTGACCTTGAGATGTTTCTGTATAAATATCGGAATAAAAACGACCATATGCTACCGCTGCTCTCATGTCACTCTTCTGACGCTCTTGTTATCAATCCATCTTTCTTATTCCCATATTGCGTAACTCATTCGGCCCGCTTAATTTAAAATTTTTTTTATCGCTTATCCTTTCTATATCGTCTAATTCATTTTTGCCTTCATGTGGACGAACTGCTCTTGCATTTGATATCACGTAACCATCTTTTACTTTCTGTCACACGCATCTCACAACCATTGCGTAACCTAATTCGGGTTCTTTGTGGACACCCAGCCCTATTCATTTGTTCATCGGCAAATGACTTGGGTAGTTATGCAACAACCAAAAATTCTTCACTTGACCCATCGTAATTATGTGATTGGCATATTTTTCGTGTACCATTTAAACCTAGTTAGTGTGAGTAGATAGCTGACTGGAAGCATCTGGAATCGATGATCGATATCATGCTGTTCCTATTGTTTTACTTGTTTGATTCAAAATGACTGAAATAGGGATCTTTCCAATATTTCTAAAACTCATTTTATCTTTCTGTGCAAATAGCATTACATCTTTGAAAAAGATCTGGAAGGGTACGGGGGTGGGTACCACTTTGTACAATACTCCCAGGTTACTCCATATTTATCATTCATGAAACCAACTTGTCCTCAATTGTAGGCTAGTCGTTTTCAGAACGATAAAAAGCCTTCACCCGATTTGTGTGATTATTGTCCCTTCATGTTATCACTATAGCAAACATTTCTGTCGGGGTGAATGTCTTGTAACCTGTGTCGTCGCACCTCATTATAAAATGACTTAATCAAATACAACTCCAGGTCAAGCTAGTCGATCTCTCTCCGTAGGCGCGCTCATTGCTCTTCGTCCGAGTTGTTGTCGAGATAAATTTGATCAGCTACTTAATTTCGATATTCGGTCCATGGACA